CCCCCCACCCCGGCCTCACTGGCTCTGTCTACCCTGCCAGCAAAGGTGGTGTGTGGGGTGGGTCCGGCAAGACGCGCTAACCGCAAAGGGTCCTGCACCGAAAGTGGGCACCGCAGCCGTGAGCGCACAGGGTTGGCAGCGGGCTGGCAGCGTACGCTTCATGGGGGCTTGGGGATGTCTTTCCTAACACGGACTAACAACTTGCCCTTAAATATCCTAGGCTAGGCAAAGCCTCTCTGAATGATGTCACTCTGTAGCCATTTCAAAATATCTTGGAGGCACAAAGCATCATTTTAATGGAGGATGAAGAGTGATTATTTTTATGTCCTTTAAAAAAAAAAAATCAGGTCTAATGAGTAGAAAGGCCACTAAAACCGGCTTGGAAGCCAAAATGCATTTCTTACATAAAAACGTACAATTCTCAGTGACGTTTGTATCACTTCTGTACAAAATGGTTTAAAATGAACAAAACAATCTGTGACGTTTGTGAGTGTTGCTATTTTAAAATTTATTTCCATAAGAGTTTTTTTTCTTAAAGATGTTTACTAGTAATTCATATAATAAAGTCCTGCTGTACTCTTAACACTTGGATGTATTTTGCTTTTTTTGCTCCCATTTCTTTACAGGGGGGAAAAAAGGAAGAAATCGGGGTGGGGAGGGAAATGCCAGCTCTAGCCCAGCTCTAGCTGTACCCCTCATGCAGATGCCCAAAAGCCGCCCTGGCTCGTTGCCTCCCTGCTCGTGTCGGTGCAGAATTTGCATCTGACAATTTTCTCGAGAAAGCGAGCGCCGCGGGAGACCCATCGCTGGCGAGCTCCTGCCTCCATCCAGGAGCAATCCCTGCTTCCACCCGGCGGGATGTTTGGTTCCGGAGCGGGTCCCCTCCGGTGCCCGTTGTGGGAGAGTGCGAGAAGAGCACCGGGAGCTCACGGCAAGTGAGCGGCAGCGAGAGCCCGGGACTCGGGGAAAGCCCTGGCACAGGGAAGGATGCTTTGGGGACGCCCCGTTCCCCGTTCCTCCCCGCTTCACCTCGGCGGGCAAAGCGACGCCGCCCCGAAGCACGGTGGGCACCAGGGCTTCGGACGGGGTCCAACGCAAAGGGCTCCACGGGGGTCAGGGGCTGCGAGGGAGGGCTCTGCACCGGGGGAACCGTCCTGGCACCGAGGGTGTTGGGGAGCAGAGCCACCGACCCACGCTGGCGGGGGGGGGGGGGGGGGGGGGCGA